TATTAGTACTAATATTATATTTTTATTTTTTATATAATTTAATATATATTTATTTTTATATATTAATATTATAATACTATAATATAGTATAATATTATAATATTAGTACTAATATTATAATAATATTATATTATTTTATATTACTATATATATATATATATATATATTATTAATTAATATTAATTAAAAAAAACTGTAATAATTATATATATATATTTATTAGTGGGTTACCTAAATTGGGACTTAAAGTAATTTTGTTTTAATATTTGCACCTAAATTTAGATATTTTTATTAAAAACCAATTGATTTTATTTATCTCTCCAGTATTATAAAATTTGCTGAATACTACATAGAACAACCTTGAATTTACTATTGAATCACAACCTTTTATTTCATTTAACCAAACTAAACATAATAATAATAATAATAATAATAATAATAAGACAAATCTCATACTTGTTGGGATGAGAGTAATCAAAAGTATAAAATAACTATGCATCAGATCAGTTGAACCAAAGTTGAATGGGAATGTGGAAAGTTCTAACATTAGTTGATTGCATATATGTGTGCATGACAGTGTCTATGTATGTGTGTATGACAGTGTGTATGATATATACAAGGTGAATCGATATTTATTGCCAGATACAAAGTTGTATCCCAACTTACGTGATTTTCATCGGTCCCACCTATCACATAACTTCGTTTCATGACTTTATGTATATATAGATATAGATTTAATAGATAGATAATAAAAAAAGAGATACAAAGAGAGAATGAGAAAAAGAGAGAGAGAGAGAAAGAGAGAGAGAGAGAAAGAGAGAGAGAGAGAAAGAGAAGAGGTTTAGAAGGATGACAAGATAGTTTCATATGCATAATAAAGCTTAAGGGTTTAAGTGTTTGTTGTATCGTTGAGTCATGAGTACTATAGGTGCTTCACTCGAAGCCTTCAAAGATTATCTTTGAATATTATACGAGAAGAGTGAATCATGTTAATAATCCTTCTCTTTTTATCTTTCTATTTATCTCTCTCTTTCTCTTTCTATTTCTCTTTCTCTCTCACACTCGATCTCTTTTAAAAATTGTATTTCTTGTTTATCATTTTAGTTTGAATACATTTTGAAATATTATACACAACAAGCTTTGATCAATTCAAAGGGTAAATATTTTCTTTATCTTTCTTGATTTGAATTTTTTTTTTTATAATTTTTTGTTTTTTTTTTAATGATCAAAGGTCTTTTTTTTTCTTTTCTTTGTGAGAGAGAGAGAGAGAGTTGTTTCGTTTGTTTGTTTGTTTGTAACTTTTAAAACAACTTCTATTTCTTTGATTTATTTTTATGATTTTGAAAAATACAAAACTGAATCAAATAAATTAAAAAAAAAAAGAAAAAAAGAAAGAAAGAAAGAAAGAAAGAGAAAAGTAGGAAAAGAAATGTAAAGAAAAAAAAAAAAAAGAAACAAAACCGCGATAAGTGCATTTTTATTAACGGTACTTGAATAAAATTGTGTGTTTATTTTTTTATTACATAACATTTATAAATAAAAGTTAAACTTTTCTGTAGCATTAACACATTTTTTTTATTTTTTATTATTATTATTATTATTATTATTATTATTATTATTATTATTATTATTATTATTATTATTCTCTTATATTATAAAAAAGTTTAATTTTGATTCCATTTAATTGTATTATATTTGATTTGATAAAAGTTTGTCAAAAGTAAGAGAAATATTTAAAATTTTTAACAGATATTTTTCACACACACACACACACACACACAGAGAGAGAGAGAGAGAGAGAGTTACACGTATACACATACACAAGTAAAAGTTACATTATTTTTATTTCATTTTTTACTACTTACACTCTCTTGTTACGTATTGAAATAATACTTTTGAACGTAACTATTTTAACACACATTAAAATGATATTCAATTTTTATCATTTTTAATGGCCCAAGTGTAATGGCGCTTTTCTAACCTTAAAATTCAAACGAATACATTTCCAAACTGTCATGTGTACTGATTTGTTGTCTCTGAATATCTATTGAACGCTTAATTTAATCGTCAAAACATAAGACACCATTTTTATAGAGCACTTAATTTTCTATCAAAATTTCTATTGCGCATTTTATAATAATCATTTATTATCGAGTTATAAAATTCATTAAAAAAAAAAAATGAAATTTGTCTGAATATAATCAAACTTCAATCTTCAATATCATTCAAATGGTTAGGTTTATGGAAAAAACATAAGATACCTTTTTTGTAGAGCATTTAATTTCCTACAAAATTTGTCTAGAACATTTTTCTGTACAATCAATAAATAATGAGGTATGAATTTTAATCTATTAAACTGAAAAAAAAAAAATAAAAAAACTGCGATTTGTAAGGATCATCCTATTAAAATGAAGAGCTCATATATTTGGTGAGAATTTTTTTTAAGGTTATCTTAACAACCCATTTTTCCGTGGCATTTGTAAAACAAAAAAAATATATATATAATTGATTTTTTTGACCCAACCTAATATACATAGGTCGTATACTTAATAATTTTCTTTGATACAAATGTCCAAAAATAATTTCTTGAGTTGTGATATATCGTAGAAAAAAAAAAAAAAAAGGATAGCAATGAAACCTTGACATAACCCTGATACAACCGTCTGTCTGTCTCTGTCTAATACGCGTGTCTGTAATCCGTCAAGTTACAGATGATTTTATTCCTTGGTTTTTTTTTTGTCCTTTTTTTTTTTCTACTTTAGTTAGTGCTGCCTTTCCTTAAGTTCATCCACGATGAGGAAAACTCCACGCCCTTTTTTTTCTTTTTTTTTTTATTCTTTCTCTGTGTCCTATCAGCAAATTGAAGCACGTCTTGAAGAATGTAAGGAGACGATGATGACGCCGGCAGTTACTAACTTTCTATGACACATATGTATATGTGTGTTTTATATATATATATATATATATATTTATATTCACTTATACAAAATACAGTCTTATACATTTATATGTAAAAAGGAAGGCACGTTCTTCTCCAACGTTTCTCAAAAAAGAGTTTCGTTGACTCGACAATAATAATATAACCAGACAACAAAAGAGAAGAAAGAAAATATTCTTCAGTTTTGGTGGTGGTGGTGGTAATAATAATAATAATAATAGTTGTGGTTGTGTTGATGGTAGTGATGGTAGTGGTGGTGGTGGTGGTGGTGGTGTATGGACAAAACGGTATATCGACATAGACATCGACATGCCATTTGTATGTTGAAATATAAAATAGGAAAAATATATTGTTCAGAAGGGTTTTTTTTATATTCAACGAAAAATAATTCGCATTTTTTTTGTTTCTTTTTTTTTTTTATCGAACTTCACTTTGTCTGCCACCCTTTACACTTCCTTTTTTTCTTTTTTGCACCATACATTTTTTTCGACCAATTATCAGTCAGTTTTTCTCTATCATATTTCAACCCCCATTTTTCCTTTTCTTTTTTTTTTTTTTTTTTATATATATTTTTTGTTATTTATAGTATGAATTAGAGACTGAAAAAGAGAAAGAGAAATTGCGTTGTTTGTGTTACCTACGTTCAAACTAAGAAATAGAAATCGTTGCAATTTCCTTTAGAGATTTGGGGGGAGGGGAGGGGAGGGGAAGGGAAGGGGGGGGAAAGTTTCTTTGCGGTTTCTGGTTAGAATGTAATTCTTAAATAATGTCTACGAGAGAGTGAGAGATAAAGTGAATGATAGAAATTAGAGATTAACATTCTTTTTTAGAAAGATGCAAAATAGGAGGTTGCACGAAAGATTCGTGCAACTTTCTTTAAAAATACGATATTACAATAAGAAAAGATTTATGATAATAAATTATTACGAGATGAAATGAAGGATAACATTTATAAAAAAAGAATTTACTAAACAAATTTCCATTTTCATTTAGTCGATCAATGACCACCGTAGTAGTGTCTCAGAACAAACTATGGCCGGTCACATATAATCAACATGGCTACGGCATTATTTTTATTACTCAAAGAATATAATAAATTAATGTTAATAAAAAATGGTAATTGTTCAATAGCACACTTTTTATTTCAAATTATCGGTCATATTTAAATACACTAACATTCAATTTTCATTTAGTTGATCAATGACCACCGT